TTTATTTCTGCCTTGTCAGCAGACACAGAGTTACTCTTGCAGCTGTAGAGACTTGGTCTGTGGATCACTTTATTATGTGGTAGAAATATGCGAACTGCATCAATCGGGTTTACGACTTAAGAATACAATCCTTTCCGGAGATGCCTCTTTCTTTTGTGAGATCGAATGTAAAGCTTTGTTATAGTTCAAAGATTACAAGAAAAAGAAGGAAAGCTCTCCTTGGGATTTCCAGCGTTACCGTTGATCGGCAATCACTATTGAAGTGGTTTTGGTCCTGTTCCAGATGAATTATGCATTCACCTCAAATCAGGGAAATTTCAGTACAATTAGGCCATTAAAGTACCACCGGGAATACTGTTGGGCAACTCGAGTAGGTTGCTCCCCGGAAGATGTCTCCGTTTTCCTCCGCGACGCAATTAGCGTGTCTCACCGTGCTGTCCATTGGGTCAGTTGTTCCCCAGAAGGCACAAAAAATGGAAAATTTTCCGACAGGGATTTCTGGGTTTGGCATCTTTGAGTGATTGCCGCGTGTCTGAACTCGTATGCTTTGTGGCAGCGTTAAGCATCAAACGACGATGATTTACAGCTACATTAAAGACCACGAGAATAAGGAATGCTATTGAATGGAAATAATTTTGTCATCCTTCATATCAAGAGATATATAGCCACTGACTTAAGGTAAAATACTTGCTTTTGGCAAATCAAACATCGACATAATTCCCAATTCTTGTCTACATGACTTGAGCAACAATATGACAAAGTCCCTAAATCCGCACATTTCACAATTACAGTATGATGCAACAAAAGTGTCGACAGAATACATTGGGCCGAGTTCATTTGAAGATTTTTAGATGGTCTCTAACAGCTAAAACTCTGGCTGAAAAAATGAAATAGCTATCAAGGAAACGTAATTTGCCAGGGGGATTTGGCCACCCGGTAGGGTTCCATTTTCCCGGGTAGTTAGTCTGTGCAATGTCACAACGTTCAACGGTAATAAAGTTGGTAAGCCTTCTGAGAGGAAATTTTACCAAGTCCTGATGGCCATTTTTCAGAATTTGAATGCATCTTTGAAGCAGCATTCTGCAGCAATTGCACTACATATAATATATTAGAAAAAAACAATTTAAAAAAAAAACCTTATAAGCGTATAACCTTAAACTTTTCAAGTCTAAGGTCAACAAACATCTGTCCTCACTGTCTGTACAGTAACCCAAAACATTTGAGAGCCTTGTTTTCTGGTGAACATGTAGTAAATGAAAAATGACACAGTATCTGACATTGGCAAATCGAATTCTAGAACAAACGCAGTATCGTTTACAAGCTTTCCAAATAACAGTTTGAAAGTAGTCAGGACAGAAATGAAACTTAGATATATATATTACAACACTGTTATCACTGTTATATGGTTATATATGAGAAATAATAGTTTTCAGAGCAGCAAAACTGATGATATATTCACAAACTGCTTCACATGAGCACATGTCAATCAGTATTCATACTTTGGGTATCTAAACAGCAGAAACAAGCCCCAAGATTAGTCCTTTATTTTCTGGGTGGTACCCGAAAAATCTGCCTCGGTTCCTTCCAGTAACCATTTTCGGTAAGAATTTTGGGTATTTTTGCTCCATGAGGGTCAATATGCATTGGTAGCTAGTGTGGTTTCAACTCAGTACTATGTAGATAAGTGACTAGAATATTGACCCATTGAAAATCGGGTTTCCAGGCCCTAAAACCTGCATGAGATGCCTTTAAATGGTTGAGGTCCATCCTGTCTGTCCTAGACAATAAAAGCGGGTTATGTAAGAGTAATGGCCCTCCCCGCGGACAGACATGTCAGCCTTGGCAGCGCGACCTTGTCCCCCATCGTTTTCCCACTCCTCCGATTTACTGCCAATTACCGCTACCTGGCTGTAAGTCTCCCTGTCCCTGGCGTTACATTATATATGTAAAACCTCTAAAGTAACTAACTTGTGCTGACCCCTATCTCTTAGGTTCAGATGAGTAGATCTGTATGGTTCTCTGAGCGATGGTAAAAAAATACTAATTTTTCGGCTTACACTTGGTAATCCCCTAATCTTCGGCCACTGTGTCTCTTACGTCATTCGTTCTAATTAAACTGGCATCCCGCGTTGTAACATTAATCACAGGGGGCTCATTAATCATAATGTTGAACTTGAGATGATCGATGGAAAACTTGGCAAAGCATGTCCTAGAGGTAGAATATTATGTATATATTGCATAGTAGGCCGCGCGCCCGCTGTGACGAAGTGAGGTCATGGTTATACTGACGCTTCTAATTATACTAAATTAGCATCACACTTTGTCTCGTCGTCAACGACAGAGCCTAGCTCTGACACTGTATAGAGCTTTGTCAAGTTCTCCATCAACAACAATGTAGACCGTAGGCAACAACGTTTTGTCTACAACCCTGACTCACTTAGCGGGCCTTCTTTGAAGAGATCTCTGTAGATATCACATCAAAGAGTCATGTCTGGAGAATGATTGTTGTGTCAATAGATGTAGTACACCCCAGGTGAGTATCGGTCTCCGCGCTGCGTGAACATCAGACAGCCCCTACTGCTGCTGCCGATCTTCCCCGATCCCGTACCATCTGTTACCTATTCAGCAGCCCTTTGGGCTAATGTGTCTTTATGTGTTTGTGTCTATGTATGTGTGTGTGTGTATGTGTGTGTGTGTGTGTGTGTGTGTGTGTGTGTGTGTGTGTGTTTGTATGCGTGTGCGCGCGCGTGTGTGTGTGTTTGTGTGTGTGTACGAATCTACAAAATTTAGCAAATGACATCTATCTTAAGTCGCCAATATGCAACGAGGGTCGCTGAGATTCAAGCATTTTCCGTTGATACATTACAAAATGTAGAACTGTCTGTTTAGGATGGCATATTTTCATTACAGGTAGAAAAACAGTATGGAAGCAGATTGGCGTACGTTGCAGATAACCCAGGCGCCAACGCCCCCTCACATTGCGGCTTGGTGTTATCAACGTATTGCGTTGATTTTATCCACATGTATATATCAGTCACCGTTCGTTTGTATCCATTCCAATGCATTTCTTATACCTGCCACATTAATACATAACGGGACACGCTCCTTTAGTCGTATAGGGAAGACATGGCACCAAACCAGCATGCCGCCGGTATGCGTTACCGTAAAACTTTCCGCTATCAGCAACACTAAAGCACATCCGTTCCCTGCAGCGATATTTATTGCTCCTCCAGCATTCATTGATATTGATCTTTCTTATACACCAATCGATACAGGACCGGACTAGATAACGACTGGCATCTGTAAGTAGTCAGGAAGATGATAAAACAACCTCCCAAAATGATCACAATATAAAATGTATATAGATATATGTCTTTATATGTATTTATATTTGCTATATCTCTTTGGCTATCTTTTACAGTAATATATCTAGGAATCTGCAAACACATTTACTGAGAATTACTAAACGCATACTTGATATATTTATTGAAGCAGCGTGATTTGACATCTTCCCCCTCCCGTCCACAATTTTGATAATATTTTGACAACATTTGGTAGTATCGCCAAAAAGCAGTTACTCAAGCAATTGGATATGATTTTGGAAACGGTCATCCAGTTGCTTTAGTAACTCCCTTCTGGCGTATCTTATTACCTGGGTGTCTGAGGCTTCACCGACGTATTTTGGTGATATCAGTGTCTCAGAGAGGTAAACTCGGCCGATCCTGATCAGACTGAACGGATTCTGATGACGCACGGTCGTGATTATAGCAATGACTTTATTCAGCAGACAATGAGCCATAGAACAAATCTAGGACGACCGAGCAGTGCAGTCGCCAAATCCAACCTGTATATCAAGATCCTCGCTAACGCGGAACGAACGGGAAGGCATTGCCGTGACTGGGAGGGAGGGCCAAACACAATCGTTATTTAAATCAGTCTATATTTGCCAGGCCACACTGTATATACATTATCTGCTCTCTTACCACTGGACACATGTGTATTTTGATGTAGCCTGGAGCACCTTAGATGTATCCAATCTGGTGAACCCGTTACGCAATATCTGCAGAAGAAATGCATGGCCCAGCAATGGCCTCTCGATGAACATAGTGATAATAAAATTTTATTTTCCGCGTTATGGTATGGCTACAGAATTACTTCATAGGTGTATCAGTTTGTTTTTAACGAGTTCATCTCCTTCGGGAAGCGTCTGGGAGACCTCTTTACCTTCCGCACGGACTCACCATTACGTTTATAGCACCAAAGAGACAAAAAATGATCACAACACGCCGTTTCTATTAAAGGGGTCTGATGAAGCAAACATAAAACCATCACAGCCCTGTAATTGGAATGTCAACAATGTTGCCGTGACGTACCGAGGTGAGTAATGACATTTACAAGGACGCGGCGCTGGATCAGAGAGAGCGATGAGCACGATACACTGCCAAGACTTTTGCGTGCGCAGTACGTTTTCCCGTTGCCGTGTCATTAATCTTCCGCCCGACAAGGAGGCGTTCATAAGACAAATTTCGATCGGACGAGCATCCGCCTACGTGGATACATACTCCTTCTGTCAATTCTGCCATACTTCAGACAACCACTTTGACTTGGCCTGTCTTCAGCCAGCCAGACGTGACTGAATCCCTCATTAAAGGTTAAACGTTTCAATCCAACGCTAGAAAAGTGTGACTTAATGCGTTTTAGGCTACACCTACGCAGTTTGGTTGCGTGGGAACAAAGGTTTTTAAGTTTATTTATTTTACGTATCAATGTAGATGAACGTAATGCTAATCGACCCACAACGAACGAAAGGTACATTTATTGACGCTCAATATGCAGCTAGGCAATTTGCTATCAAGTCCCAAGCAGCTGTCTTGAAACTCGGCCGTACCATTTTCGTGAGCGAGATCATACCAGTCTGCCGGATTCCGTACCACCTCACAGTTCCATCAACCAGCTGACATCGGCCGAGAACTAGGCAGCAACGCTCCACGCAGCGGCCATGTGACTCACCCAAACCCCTCGACTTATTAATAAAACATGATGGGTTGATACTTATACTAATACGCTACACTCGCGGAGCAAACTGGACTCGCGCACCGCCCTGAATACCAATAGCAATGCTACAGAATGGCATCTCTTCTCCTGGCCTCCGGTTGTACCGTCGGTGCCTTTCTTCTCTTCCTCATCACACTCTTCTCCATGCCTCACAGGTGAGTTACCAGGCCCCTTCTGCGACCTTCGTTTTCTATTTTCCTTCCGTGTTTTTCCCGTTCACCGCACCTAAACCGAGACCTTTGCGTTGTGTCTGCGGCAGGACCAGGCAGAACGCGCCGGGAGACGCCGACATTCCGGACGTGGAGGAGATGCTGGAAGTTCGAGGCTATGACAGGAACTTCCGACCGGGCTTTGGGGGTAAGGCGCCAAGATTTATCCCTTATCAACCTAAAATAACACAGCATAGCGAAGGTTACAATTATGGTTGATTTTGTTTTGATCAGTCCGTGTGTTTGTGAGTGCAGGCTCTTTGATCTAAATAATAGTATGATATCCAGCGGAATGAAAGGACTGGCATTCCTGAAATACGATCTCATTAGACTTTGAGAGGTATTCGCTACCAACGACTGTTTGTTATCAGTAGAAAAGCTAGACAAACTGACCTATGCTTTTTATAGCTTTAAGCCACGCCGGCTTAAACCGGGATCATCGACTTCTGCGGTAAAATCTATAGACGAGTCCTTAACGATTCTAACCATGCGAGGATTGCACCAGATTTAGCCAGAATCTGACATCGGCTTGCCTCTTGTTTGCTGAAATGAGTGCACGTCCTCGACAAAATCTATGGCACACTCCTGCGTAATAGTCCATATAACCAATGCATGCAAGAAGCCGGGATGGAACCAGTAATAAATAAGGCCCCTGTTCCATAACATGGGCGGGGGACAATATGCAGTTATCGTTTCGGACGCCGCCAAACTAATCTAAAAGGAAAAAGTGACAAATTTTCTATTCCAGGAATTCGTAATAATAACAAAGCTAACAATAAATCTGTAAATGAGACAGCAGCGTGGAACTAAATCAGAAATGTGCGAAGACTGGTCTTGACAAGGTTTTCTTTCATATCTCTCATCAAGCACAAAAAAATTTTCCACAGAGAAAGACGTAACATTTGAGTAAAATGTCAGAATGCTAAACATGACTTCACACTTTCCTCGCACGTCCTCGATACCTATCTTGACGATGACCACGAAACATCGCCCATGACCGCTACCATATCACCAGTGCATGAGAAAATCAATATTTACTACTGCACATTTTAAACTATTATGACGTACACCATTCTGGTCGAGAAGTGGTAAATTGACATATTCCTATAAAATGGCACGTCCAAGTACTTTGAGAAGCAGTTTTCACCATAACGTAACACACAACAATTTTTAATGGTCTTGTTTGGTCTTGGCGACATTCCAGCTGCTAGTACTGGTTCCATCTCAAGACAGTTTGTTTTTATATGGTCCGTTATGAAATATTGTTCTTTTATGACTGTTTCCCATCAAATGAATAACGGAAAGTGCCTCTCCACTCGGTAGAACTGATTAAAATTTCATCTGTTGTCCCTTTTTTCCTACAGGTCCGCCACTGCTGGTGGACATGAGTCTGTCGGTCGCCAGCATTGATCGGGTGTCTGAAGTGGACATGGTGGGTACATTATGATTCGTATTGTCTATAGGCTGCATTATGTCTCCTATGTCTCAAGTGGCTAGGGTGGGTACGTTTTACGCCCCTGTCTCAAGTGGACACTGCATATAAAATATGCTCTCCAACTATGCCTGAAATGTGTATGTCACAGAGGCTACGTTAATGCTCTATGTCTGAAGTGGAGACGACGTGTACATTATGTTCTCCTATGTCCAAAGTAAATGAGTACACGGCTAATAACAGACTAATAGCGAACTATCCTGGCTCAGTACGCCATTCATTAGGGTGGGTTTTAAGACCCATTAGGCATTGGTCAATTTCAGTTCAGAAAGACTAGCACATTATATAATACTCTGTTACTGTATTGGATATTTTGCTGTGTGTGTTGCTTTGAATCAAAAATGACAACTCTTGCAGTATGATTATGTTGAACTTTTCGTTTTCTGCTTTGTCCGTTTTATATTTGAGAGACTACTTTTGGAATCTTATGGACCTCTATAAGTATTATACTGTGTTGCTGTTTGCAGGGAAGTATCAAGGAACACTCTCAAATGTGATTCTATGTCTGATAACACAGCGCATTTTCAAGTTTCAACAATGAGTTGCCGTAGGTAGAACAAAAAAATTCCTATTACAAAAGTTACTCATCTTACAGACGTATGCCCTGCAAACATTCTATATACACTCGTCTCAGGATATCACTAAATCACACAAGTAATTTCCCTTATGCCTTTTAGGGCTTCATTTTAATAATGAATATTAATAGCTTATATCTGCATATATGTCATGTAGGTCCATGTTAGTCGGATAGCGCTATAGATCAGCTTAGTAATAACCGAGTATTATTTAAATCAGGACAAGATAAACCTTTCTTCTTCCGGGAACTGCTTGTTATTTTAATCAATGCCTCGACTTGACAGTAATTTTGATAAATCACTTCATTACTTGCATATTTAGGCACCCCGATAAGCTAAATCGACATAAAGTGCGGATAAATAAGACAATGCAAATAAGGCGCTAAGAGCTTTGAACAAACTGATTATGACAGAAAGGAATTAGGCTTCTCGTACAAAGCGTAGGGCCTTTGGACCAAGAAACCAGCTGCTTTGTAGTTTCATACTAAAACAGAACTTTTACAAAACGGCGTTTGCAACTCAGTGTAGCGTGTGTAGTTTCAAATTGTTGAATCAACAAAAGTGCCGTTTCACGTACATGAATAAAAGCCCTACTGCATGGGCATTTTCTTTTGCTGAGAGACCATATATGGGTCTGACAAGGTCAACAGTGAGATGAAATGCAAAAAATAAGATAATGTAAGAGCACCTACAAACACTCTTTTTTTTTAATGAATACCCGGGTGCTTGATTGATCTCCTGGTATTCATCACACAACGAATAGCTACTTCTACAACTCTTGCAGACAGCGCTAAAACATCCCTTTACTCCGTGGTAGTCCTATGTACTCATCAGTTGCCAACTCCAACATATTACCCCTTACCAAGAACTTAATTACTTCATCAGAACGTTTTTAAAAATATTTTTTTCTTTTGATATTTGTATAGTATCCGTTCATTGTTATCATTGGGTATGAAACCGGACTTGCCCTTGATTTAATTTTGTACATATTTTGAAGAGTTTGATTATTTTCTTTATTGTATGTATTTATTTAGTGGTGGTGTCAAAATAAGTTCCTGACTTGAGTGCGCCACCACTAGGTCCTGTATTCTGTTTGTGTGCATGATTAATAAAAAACCGAACAGTTACAGTTGTAGTTTTAGGCAGAATCACGCGTGGCGTGCGGAAACTGAGTCTGTTATGCCCAGAACGGCATGTTTTAATGAGATCATTCAGGGCGTACTTTTCCTTCTTATTACGTTGTTTGAGGCAATGTATTCACCTTTTTGGCGCATCTTGCATGTACTGACGCCAAAAACATGCATAAATACAATATAACATGTCTCGTGCATGTTCACTAATACCTAAATACCTCAATACAAATGGGGTCTCAGAAATACAAAGCACACATGTTAATCACACACTTTACGCAATAACAAAGTACAAACATATTGCCCCCAATCGATAGTGTCACGATCTGACTTGTTTTATAGTTTCATTAACGTTGGGGGCATAGAAAATAAAGGATTGATGAAACAAAGTGTCAGCAAAATCTGTGGCTTGAAATATTATTCGCTCTGAAGATCAGAGAAACTCTCAGAAATTGGCAGCAACATAAAAAGTATTTCTAAAAGAATCAAATCATAGTAGCAATGTCCGGATTGCTTAGTTGGTAATCAGTTACGTTTGCTGCAAAAGAATAATTTGTTTCAAGTCTCGAGCTAAGTATCAACAGAAGAGAAGTCAAGCTCTTCAGATATACTTAGACATAGCTGTAATTTTAGACACTTTCCTTGTGTTATTATGTAGATTTTTAACTTATTTTGTACTTTGCATCAATGTATGTGCATTAGAAAGAATTGGCAATAGATTTATCAATTAATGTTATTCCACTGCTTAAATCTATTTTCCATGCCGAACACCGGAATGCTGTCCACGGTGTGTGCTTTTATAGGGCACTCTGACCTGGAAGGTCACTCACGCAGAGATAATACAGTAGCATATTAGTCCTTAACGCGTAAAGAATGCGTGAGGCTTGGAACATGGCCAATTGTCTGCCTGAACCAGTTAACTGTGGCTCAATACCTGCTTGTGTGGATTTCAATAGATTTTCTCATTTTCTATCCTTTATAACATCAAGGCCTCGATTTTCAAATTATGTGACGTTTTACGTCTGGATTTTGTGTTTTTTCTTCAAATCTCTTTCCTAACATTAAGGCCACGTCATTCTGCCGACGCCTTGAAGTCAATCTTATTTTACATGTCCTTGCACGTGCATAGCCACGAGACAGGCCTGAAGGATGGAATTAGGCACGCCGGCCAATTACCCTATCGATCCTGGTTACGGTCCTCCTAAGACATTGCGGTGGTGCGATAAGGAAAAATCAAAGACGTCAGCTGCTGAAGCAATGGGCGTAGCTGAGGCTGATAAACGACATCGCGGCTGACACGGCTGTTGTAGACGATAGCGGGATAATTACAGGGAAGTTAACTCGTTGACGTCCAACCTCGTAAAACAGTCCTGTGTGTCCGAAATTACAATCAGTGCCTGATCGATTTCTCACGCCGTAACAGTTGATATTCAACACAGATTTACTACTGAATGGCTGGTGGAATTGGCGAACAGAGATTTCGGGGTGAGAGTGTACTACAGTAAAATAATCCTCTCGACCAAGGCACTTACCATAGAACTATGATGAAAGAAATGTACCAATTATGAAGAAAAGACAAATAGGGTAAAGGGTATGCTAACTTTCACGAGTTGGTTTAAGGCAAAAAAGGGCGTTTAAGGATTGCAAGGTAGAAAAAACATTAAGTAACATTGCACAGCATGCAGTAGATATAGTTTACATAACTGTGAGTTCTACTACTTGCTTGAATGCCAACATTTTGTTGTATTTCATCTACATAAGAAAAGTTTCTAACTATCCGCTAGGTCGTACACAAGACCAAAAGGGCTAGGACGGAATTTATGTCGGAAAACTACCATAGTCGTCCAAGCACTTACTAACTAAGAATAAGACATCCTTCTATATTGCCGTCCCACTCCAGGCAGTGTATACCCTATTATCAATGTGTAACTAAGGTTCTCATATGCTATGTAGTCTTTTGATGTCGCTGTAGATATATACAGCATCCGCCATAGTGCTCTCGGACACTATTGTTAAGAAAGGTATTTCCGTGCAGTGATTTACATCTATGGCGGCAATGCTAGCCAAATGCCTCTGGACTACTCCATACTCGGCCTGCGGTATCGTTCTATCACGTCATTGAGCTGTATAACAGGACAGGGCTGTGGTTGCAACTTCCTTTTTTCTCGATACTGAATATAGAGGATAATAAAACATGCCGAGTTTTAATGGAGCATAAAAAACGGGTATTCGCGGCTATGGGCAATTCATCTGTGGTGACAACTACATTAAGCCATCCATTCGTACGCCCACAAGCCGCATCAAACACTGTAAAAACGTCATGGGTAAGTCCAAATCAATCACTACTTCAGCAATGGATCAATAGCCAACAACGACAGTGGCATCCAAATCTAACTCCAACATATGATTCTTCAAACGTTTTGAGGCTATCTATTCATCTTGTTGCCCCGACGGCAGTCGCCTGACTGCTATGGGACTGGTGAGATGAGGTGAGGTGTTCAAGAACAAAGTAGCAAAGTTTAAAGACGAATCTTCTGTAGGAGTCCTTTCCCTTAGTATTACTTTGAATGATTGCATACTTTTGCATCAGTCGGGAAAAGAAGGCATGGTGGTGTTATCGTATGGCCCTGGGTAAAATGGTGGTGGCTATAGAAGTTCGAGTATTAGGTTAGAATGACTTGATTTATTGTCCCAAACAATGAGTGCAAAGACTCATGGGCAGTGCCCTTGACAAGTAATCTCCCTCCTCTTATCACCAAGCGGCCATGTCCTGTCGGACTTCCTTCTTCTTCCCAAAGCGTTAGCCGTCCTTTTCTAGCCTGGCAATCGTGGAATTAGAGGAACGCCGTGGGGAGCTTTACAAATGTGGGCAACTGATCATACCATCACTCACTGTCACTTAACCGGCCAACTAAATAATACATCTAAGTACTGCTAAGTACGTCGTCAATGCGTAGGCTATAGTTATAACGTGTGAAGGCGCTCTTCTGAATGACGCGGCCTCACACTTCCACTAGAGCCGACGCCATCAACAATTATGCAGACCGGTCTTTACGTACATGGCGATACATGGCAATTCTAGCAAATCCTTAATCACACGATCTCAGCTTACTTACTCCGCCTTCAGCAGCTGCACCGCACGATTATGTGTGATGAGAGTTTGGGAAGGTAATTCTAGTTATAAACTGAGACGACATACCATACACAACAACGTGTCGTGTTTCTGAAAGCGACGAAACGAACAGGGCCTAAAATTGTGTGAAATTACAAACCTCTAGAAACATATCTCTATGAAAAGCGAAAGGCACATTGCACAGGTTTCTCCTATTTCAACTCAGACATCCACAGTCACAACACCATGAAACAAAATAAGTTAGGACCAGTCATTGAAAGATCCAACCTCAGGAAATTCATGATTACGTTTAGAGGTCCGACAGTATGGAACAATTTAAGTATTTCTGAGAGAACATGTCCCTCCTCACCCAGTTTCAAAAAATAAAATTTTAAAAGGAGGTACATGTATAATACTTCAATCAACCATCATTTCCTTATTTTGTTCGCTTTCCTTATTTTTTGATTTGACAACTTACTCAAATACTTTATATTTGTACTGATGATTGTAATAACAAGTCTAATTATTTCGATCTGTATTTATTTGTTTACATAGATGGTTTGTATTATTTCATTAGTTCTTTGAATCGTTCTTGATTATTTCCTGTTATTGTTGTTTTCTTTAGTTCATTTAGTAATTATTGTAATTTGTCTTTTAATCATTATTGCTGGTGTAGTATTAGGGAGGGCCAAAAATAAACCACCAAGTTTCCGGCCCTCATATGCATGTCTATTTATATTCCAATTGTTACATTTTATTTATAAGTGTAAAACAATGAATTCTTTGGAGGCTGTATGGGCAGATTGATGTCAAAAGAAACAGTTACATGTTTTTTTTAAATTTTCAAATAAAATATAACTGCTATTGAAGGGCAAAGATAGTATTCGCTTGATGATGAAAAAAGATATGCTAATGAATCTAATCCTTCATTCATTTACATCATGTATAGAATCTTCATCTTTGTTTGCCATTGTTAGGTACAATACAAGCTTGAGAGAATCCTACCCCTGTGAGCAAGGGCTATAAGAAAGGATGAAATTACACACAGCAATGTTTTTGAGCCAGCACAAATAAGTAAGGCTTTGAATGTAATGCCAAGAGATACTGTTCTTTCTTCTAGTTAGCTTCCATAATTCCACAAGAGAAACGAAGCCATGATTGATGGCACCCAGGATCCCATAGTTTCCCGCAAATGCGGAGTTTTGGGGCAAGCGTCAGCTTCCAAGTATCGACCCTGTGTGCAAATGGGGCGAGGGAATCCCTTGGGTCTTGTTCCGCAGAGAAATTGGAAGAAGTACCAGCGAGGCCAAGGATGGAAGTATGTTTTAGTAATGAGGTCGGATAACAAGACTCCACTGACAAAGTGCCGACCTCTGGCTGAGATGAATGGTTAAATGAAAAGAGTATCAGTCAGTCGCCTAGACTTAATTGACAATTAAGGGAGAAAAGTCAGTAAAAGCTATCCTATCAATTCCATTTTGGAGCGACAAGAAGTCTCGTTTGCGCTAAGGTTCGACTTAATGCACTTGCCGTCGTTTTTGTGAAATGCCTTGACTGACTGACTTCAAACTGTCCACCACATCTCACCCTGATATCTCAATTTAACTTTTTATGGTATATATATGAGAACTTGCCATATGCGTTTATCAAAAACTCAAAGTGCGTCAACAAAGAATACGCCAATAGTTAAAAATAAATATAAACTCCAGAACGATGCATTTTAGTTCTGACTGCTTGCGTCCTTGGCTTACGTGCTTTGCCTATATCGGACGTCATGGAGACGTAGGAAGATAATATTGCAATTCCATATGGCCAATTACAAATACATTCAGCTCACAGACGACCTATGAGTCCTTAGTGTTCCTTAAGACCCTACGGCAATTTAGCATGGTAGACATGCTGATATATCATTGGAATAACATACTTTGTCTTCGTTTTCGATGTCTTATGATTCACAAGGGTACTTACTAGTTAGATACAGGAAAAGGTGACTGTCCGCAAGAAAAAAAGTTTGCCAAAGAGAATAAAGTAGTCTACTCCCGGGACTATTCAGTCGGAACTGTAGTGCTAGCCCTAAAGCTGGGGATACCATGAAACCTCATTAGTCACCAATGCCGGCATCTTTGTCATTCCACCATCTGCGTCACGGACTCTTTGTAAAGCGAAACTCTCCTTCGCGACTTGCAGGTACCCTTTAGGACATGCTTTGTGTGGCTCTGCATTTCTCAAACTTAAACTTTGAGGCAGTAAACCCTCTTTACTTCAATGCCTTGGGGATCTATTTTTCTTTGCAGCTCGTAATCTTGTAGTCCAAATGAATTCCATCAGGAATTCAGTTTCAAAGACTACATTTAGATTAGAGCAAATTTATACAATATGGCTTATCCCGGAAGCGGAATGGCTTAGACTTTAAAGTAGATAGATTTCATCAATGTTTCTCCTAGGATAGGAACGGCTTATAACACATCAGTCTTCCGGTGTTCCATCCAGACACCCCGGAGAAAAGCACCGATGCCTGACCGAGATTACCAGACTTCTGTAGGTCAAGGAACCTTCCCCATGACACCACTACTGAGACATCACAATGAACGTATCACTTTTATAGAGACACAAAGAAACTTAATTACTCTAAGTGCCTTGGGAAGACTTAGGCATGGCATCTAACTTTTTTGAAACCAATTTTAACGTCATTTTCCCAAGAACCGGGGGTTAGACGTGCTTGCACCAAATACAGGTCTTTTTTTTCTTTATTTTTAAGCAAGGTTTCTACGGCTGAATGCCCTTCCTAACGCCAACCCAAACCCTAGTAGGGCCCAGGATCCCCCTAATGAGCTAACTGAGAGGGGAAATACGGGTTTCCCAAGGGACAATATCTGGGTGCATGTCCAGACATGTCTTGGTCTTCTTGCTTGGCAGTCGGATAGCCTACCACTACACCACACAGACGTCACTTTAACAGGCTGCCAAAAACTTTACTACTACCAACATCACACCATTGATCACAGTAACGCCTGTGCCCTAATGTGAATCAGTAAGCAGTACGCCATGCTGTGACCAGCAGGGTGGCCGACAAATTGCAAGATTTAATGTTCTGTTTGGATTACAATAAAAACGTTTCTGCTACAAAGTGATAAAGGTATAAAATATAGTTCTTTTAATACAGATACATTGTACAATTTTGTACCTAAAACACCAGGGGGTGCCAGGAAAGCTTTGCAAAGTTGCAGAACTCAGGTTTTCGGGACATTCATGGTTTCATTGGGGTTATGCAAAATTGTACATGCTGCAACGACAAGTTGTTAGTATGGAAAACCAAGACTAACATAAATTTTAAAGTTCGATTCTTGTTAGAGTTGTTGTTTCTTTTCTTTTACAGGATTACACCTTAACGATATTCCTCCGTGAATACTGGAGGGACGAGCGCCTACACTTCTCGGAGACAAACCGCAGCCTGAGTCTGGACGGCCGGCTGGTAGAGAGACTGTGGGTCCCGGACACGTTCTTGGTCAATGCAAAGAGTTCGTTTCTGCACAAAGTTACCGTCGACAACCGACTTCTGCGCCTGTTCCCAGACGGAAGACTGCTGTATGGTTTGAGGTACAGTAGACTTATATTATTTGCATTAATAGCAAAAAGTTATTACGTATTTAGTAGTCATATTATAATAGTTTTAGATTTTGGGAAGGGGCAACATTTTAAGTAATCATATGTAACCCCTAGTTCGTTTGTGTCTCTAATATTCAAGGACATACCATTACTTTAACCATCAGAAACAATAAGTGAATGGTCTGAATTTCCCATGATTGTGCAACATTCCCATAGTCAATGTACACTACGGACCCGGTTAATACAGTTGGACTGGGTTATCGTTGCCCTGTTAGACTCGGTAATTACTTTGATCATGGTAATTGTATTTAAAAACAATATTTAAAACCTTAACACCTCTTCGATTTTCTACGAAGTTGTTACAATAGACAACATGCCAGGTCGTTGTCATGTCAGGCATTTTTCTGACTTAAATAATCTTCACATTTAATGGCATTGTTTATTCATGCATTGGTTATACCTCACCAACCACCTCACCTATCCCTTGACCTCATTGAGGGTCATTGGAGCACGATTACTTGATCCACTATCCTCTTCCATTTAACTCTGTCCTCCACCGCTCGTATGGCTTCAGCTAAGCCCAATCCAGTCCACTCGTTGGTTATACACTAACCTGAAAATAAACTAATAACGAGACTGGTATACATGTACCAAATACGCATCCACCTTCTTGTCAAAACAAACTTATGGATCGTTATAACGCCTTCGGCTCCATCGTTTCTGGTCAATTCGATAAAATAAAGATGGACAAATCAAAAGTGTACTAAAATGTAACATGACCAGCCCACCAGAAACCTAGCAAAGTAACTGTACAAGATATATGTCTTTCTTTAAACCTCGGAACTTCAAAAATGTCCCCATGAATCAATATCTCTGACTAGATCTATTGGTAGAGGACAGTCTGACATCCTCGGGCGCACTAGTAGATACTGATGACGCCAGGTCTGGCCATCGGTCGTGGAACTGATGCTGAACGGAGATCAGAGCTTTTCCCTCCGGGTTAAAATGGTGGAGAAGCTCCGCGGTGTCAGCCAGTGCCTTCGATGTTGCCTCAACCTTTTCTACCAGCCCCATACATTCTCTCGGGCCTTACCGACAGGCCCGGGACGGTAATGGATAGCGATGTGTTCCTGGAGGTGGAGGTGGACACTGCTATTTATTAGCGGGCCGCAGTGGAGAAGGATGGAAGGCTCATCTCTAGTCCTCTCATCCCCCTCTCTGCGCGTCTTGTGATAAAGACAAACGAGAAGTCAAGGTGACATTCGATTTTCGATACGAGCATGACATTCAATTTTACGGGAGAACCACTGATGAGAATCACAGCAGCCTTTGACTGGTCGAAAACCCTGGCTTGAAGGAGAGCTTAGCGTTGCCATAGGACGATATTTCTTTCTGTTATTCTCGAGCTTTTTATTCTAGCTTATGACGTTATCACAAAACTTACCAAAAGCATATAATAT